TGTTTATCACTTGAAAATGAAGCTTGGGTTGTAAAGAAATGAACAAACTTACGATCCATTCCGATAACGTCGAAATGAAGAGCAGTGTTTTTCTTTTTCACAATGTCGGCCTGTATAGTTTTGTTCACATTCACATTCACCATCCACAGGTTCGCCGTGGACGCAACTGAATTCAAAAAAAATGATTTAATGGAGCTCTATAAAGCTTTGTCGTATGGAAAAGCAGGGTATCCCAAGAGAGTAAGGCATTCAGAAGCAGGGAACCCATGTCGGGCTAAATCAACTCTTTTTGCCCAACAAATTTTGCTTACACACCTTGGAGGTTGACCCTCCCCTACCGCCCCCCCCCCAGGCAAATGGTCGGCAGAAACGATCATTCTCTCTGATCCAGAATTGCTCGTTCGCACCTCCCAGCCCTGAATGCACACCTCAGTGGAGTACCGCTGGAAAATCTGAAAATGATTTCGTACACTGGTTGTCTTCGTCGCTGAAACGTTGATCGAATACGATGTCGATGGTGTCGATGAGGGTCTTCTACTTGATCCTCTCGCGCATTTACTGTTACAGAGAGCAGTACCAGTAAAGGAACAAAGTAAACCGTTGATGATATAAAGCTCATAAATTATAGTTCGTCAACCACCTAAAATCATGTTTTTGTCGCGAACGATTGGAAACGAATTTGAAATTCTCCAGAACTGATGAATAAGTCGATGTCAGAACAATGATAACAAAAAACCTTTCTGAAAATGTGGACCGTTTCGGGAAATCCAGGACAAGAATTGCTACTAAAGAGGCGGATGCTTTGCAGTAGTTGTGGATTTTCCACGTCTTGCTGAGCGAAGATTCGGAAATCGGAACTTCAAATACCAGTCAGCCGTGGTATCACGAAAGGCAGAATTCTAATTCGAAGAGTACTGATACTGTACTGGTACTGGAATTACTGGATTTGAGCAGTCCGCAATTAACAAGCAAATTTGATGAAAAGTGACAGTATGAACCAGTACGAAAAGAAAATTTTGTGAACATAATGTACTAGAAAGGAACGATAATTGGATCTGTCATCAACACCCATTTCAAGAGGGAGAACGGTTTCACGATGATTCGATCGATTAGCCCAACTGTACCCTTGGAAGGTGCAAGTAATGTTTTTGCAGAGCTATCCCGATCATAGGAAAAGCCCTTCTTTCTTTTGTGTTCTTCTAAGTTTTTCGAGAAAAGGGTTACTAAAATAAAGGTAAATACAAAGGATTACCTGGAATTGGAATTGATCTATGGTACTTGGTGGTTCTGTGATATCAAAAATCGCTGCATTGGGAACCTTGTCTATCATTAGCTGAACATTTTGGCGAAGTACTGTATATACAGAACTAGCAAGGCTACGTCTATGGAAATGGGCTTGAGAGAAAGGAATTATTGTCAGAGGGAGATAGTCGATCCTGTTGGCATTTTGCCGATTTCACGCTTGGATAAAAATGTGTACACGGTAACCAACAGCAGTGCTGCACTGCATTTACTTAGCTACGAGTTAGCTTACAGATAATCTGCAAACTCATCTCTTCAAATGCCGGTTTCAGCCATGTGTGAGATGACGGAGTTGCGCAGCTACTGGATATATGCTGCCACTCTCTCTCGCAAAAAAAAGGTATGGGATGATGCTCAAGCATAGTGATACCTGAATGCCATCTCCACGATCCGCCCTCGGCACTGCACGGTCAGCCACTCGCCCAACCACAGCCAAAAACGCTACTTGTCTGCACCATCTCAGTTTTGATTCCTCCTATCCCTCAGTTGAGGTATCGACGCAGGAGCAACATAGTGAGGACACTGCGGGCCGGGTATCGAGGAGGCATCTGGTATCACTGCCGTCCAGTACGCCGTTCCCAGCTGCAGGCACTTCGACTTCGCATACTGAAAGGACTCTCTTCGGAAGGGAGTGTACAGCTTGCCTTTGAGGCGGAACAGAATTTTGCAGCATTTTGTTGTGAATTAGATATCCCTATCACATGTGTTTCTTTTCGTGATGAACTCGCATTTAATAGCAATCAGTTACAAGTGTTTGAAGTAAAATGAATGAATAGTGGAGTAGAGCACAACGGAAAAATTCCGTAGTTTTGTATATTTGTCGTTTGATTACGAAGCTATAGATGCCAACTGCCTTAGCGATAGGCTGAAGTCAGGAGAGCCCATCGAAGAGGCTTCAAATGAGGACAGCTTGCCTGACATTGTTGACCACGCGGTAAACAGAAACGCAGAGACACTCCGCAGGTGTTATGTAGCTTGGGCGGCAGAATACGCAAACGCATAAGCAATAAAGGTGGACATTTATTATAGTATCCACAGAGCCAACCCGAAGAAAACGAGGAGAGAGTGAACTCTCATGCCTGGTACTTTTATCACACTATTCCGAATGGCGAGGTGACAAACTACCGGGTGCGACTGTAGACGCTCATAGTATCCTCTTAATGGTTGCAGTAAAATGGGGCTGTCGCAGTACTATGTGTGCTCAAAATCGCCTTACTGATCCTTCAATGAATTCACCGACGACGCCATTTGTACATGACTCATTCCGCGACTTTCAGGGGTTTCCTAATTGAATGAAAGGCTCCCGTTTGGTAAACCGTCGACGACCAACGATCAGGGACGTTTCCAAATGTGCTTAGAGAAATCAAAGATCTCGGGCTGGTAACATGCATTTCACAGACGTTGGACGAACAATCGCTCTTGTTGAGCCAATATTAAGGACGACGTGAACTCAATGGCCAGATCGGTTTGCTGATATTTTAGGTAGAAACGATTTAGGAGTTCAACACTCCAGTCGTGAGTAAGCGACGAACTGTTCAGAGTCTATTCGTTTCATAAAGAGATAAAAAACAAGTAGTTGTTCTAGTACTGTTCAGGAATGAACAAGGAGACACAAACAGCGAGGAACAAGGATGGATGAGTGGCAAACGAATAAGTATGATCAGTTCTCAAAAAAGTAAGAGGGCGTTACTGACGACCCTTCAAAAAGGCTGGCGGTCAACGGTCGTGGGATATTTATCAACTCAAAAGGGGAGTGTACAATTTATGATGCATTTTTTTCTTGCTCAGCAGCTCTTGAACGGCAACATCTTCTTTCTTTGACTAATGTTAGTTCAAAGTCCTGTTCCATCAGCATTTGTTCTGCAGGACTACAGTAATCACCCTCGCAACTTTTGGTAAAAATACACTTCTGAGGGACGAACTTCGTGTACTGCCTCGACTTCACTTGCCGACCTGATGGTTTGGAACTACAGAAGGATCGCTGAGAGAACTTGGGGCGTGAGGATGTCCATCAGGAGGAACCCGATCCGTACCGCGACATTCCAGCACCACCATGACCTATGCCATCAATTTACAACGTTCCGCTGTTATCGTTTGTAGTTCCAGCTTGGCTTTCTCAGCACTGTAGGGCCTCGAAAGGCACCTAGGTGATGGGCACGGGAACAGCTCCTGCTCTGGCCAGAGTCACACATCATCCGCATAGCTTGAGCCATTCCAGATTCACAATAAGAGAGAAGGGGTATGTGGAAGGGTTTGAAAGCTCTAACGCCCTTGTTAGAGCATTGCATACAATCTGAGTGCACGATGTAATCCAAAGAAAGCAATTAATAGTGACCATAATATTTTTTTGAATGGAATTCTTTGTGGAAGTTAGGAGAACAACGTTATTCTATAGCAGCAATAGCTTTGATTGATCGAGCTTGAGCGAGTATTGATCAATATTGATTGAGCTTCGAAAAGTTGGAAAACACTCTATTGACTAACTGTGAGCTCCTTAGGTTACCTTGCTTACTTGGCCTTCATCGCACTCTGGAATCAGTGAAACGAGGCAAACGAAATCAAGAAGATCAAACTCAAGGAAAATCCGTATCGGAAGGAAAACATGTGTCGGTGCAGCATATTCTTTTGACAGTTAACTGCTTGTTGTCAAATAGTAAAGGGTCATATGAAGCCACTGAATGACAATCATAGAAGGTCGACCATGTTTTCAAACAAGGGAATCGAAGGAGTTAACCAGGCGCAAACTGGATGGCACAGAAATGCAATGTGAGCGCATTAGCATTAAGACAGCGGCAAGACGAGGAGTGGTTACTACAATCTCCTGCGTCTTAACCTTCCCCCATGTTGACCTGTTAGAGCTCATAAGAGCAATACAGACCCTGTTACGGTAGACAGTCACACGATAACAAGCTGTTCATTGCTGCTCACGAATAAATGAATGGTTTTCAGAACAGCACGATATTGGGTAGTGCAGGTGCGTAGGGAAGGCAATGCGAACATTTGGGAAAAACCGCGCAAGCGATGTTCATCCAACTTTCACACCGTTATATGACAGGGAGGGGGGAAACGGTGGTCACCTCACAGGGGGCTTACACTCGGACTGCATGAACTTAGTCTGATTCTAATATTATCAGGTTGGACGGAAAGTGCTGCGACACTTTGACTGAATTGTTCTAATAAAAGGCCAAAAACATTTCAAATGTTTTCATCCCTGATTAGTGGAGACTGTCCTTTGGGGTCTCTGCAAATGGGTATATCATGATTTTGTGGAAGTTTTCAAAGCTTAAAAGTCCCTCAGGATCGAGGTACTTTTCTACCTATCCCATTTATTGATTCCTGTAGAGCCACTGCCCGTGTCGGTTGAACCTAACACCTCTTAGGGCATGCAAATAAATCGTATACAGGTTGCTGGATTTGTAACCGGCCTAACAAAAATTCCGTGACTCGACAGGCGAACTGGGTGAACGCCGTTTTCAAGGAGCGTATCCTATAACGCCCTATAGAGCCAACAATTTACGTCTCAACGCCTTCCTATGCCGCGCCCGCCACAAAACGGAACGACCGTTTCTCGCTCGTATTTATTCATTAGCTGAGCATAGTATAAAGCTAGATTTATATAAAAGCGGCCCGTGTGGCTGACTGCAATACTATGCGGTACACATATGCAGCCGTATCTTCGGTAGCTGATTGGTAAGATGCCTACGGAAACTCGTCCGAAATCGATTTACAAGTCACTGAGAACGGAGGCTTTTTCTTCGCCGGATTTTGACCGTTTCACTCCGTTCTTTCGCCATTTCCCACTATACAGCGCCCCACTGAGCAGAATTTTAGGTTTTAGGAATTCGATAGTGTGCAACTGCCTTTGAGGGGGGATATCGCAAGACCATGCGATGCGGTACGTTTTTGCATCAGCCGCTTCTAAGCTGGATTAGTTCGATCTCGTGATGTTGGGCAAATGTATAGGTGCCCTCAGGCACAGAATGACGCCTTTTACTTCAATCTCTTGAGGTAGACCGAACGTAACCACTTAGTTATATGGGCAAGCCTCTAGGCTCCATCTGAATGACAAGTGCCATGCTTCTCCGCAATCTCGGTTATCAGGAAAATTTCTTGTGAAGAATGCTTCATGAGTTGGACCCGTCGTGACAAGTCATACCGAAACCGTGGGAAGTTATTGCTTTTGGCTTGTACACATTGGACAAGAACATTCGTGAACTTGTGGTTGGTAGGATGGACGCCTTTCGTACATCGTGCATGCCCAGTCCATAGATGCCCCAACATAAGAGAGTAGCTTGCTTAGCCAAAAACAGATATGCA